TAGCGGTGGGCCTCAGTCGTTACAACTATGGATCTACATATCCAAAACCAATTCTGGCCGACGCAACAGAGAAAAGAAAAACTAATTACCAAGAAATCGTTATGCAACAGCCCAAGCCCACCGCTAGCAGATATTGTCCGCTTTGGCTTGTTACATATTGCCGTTAGCCTCACGATTTTAAAACATGTCTGCTAGGGAGAGGTTTCTACACCCTTGTAAAGAATACTTCTTTTCCCTCTCCAACCGATGTGGGATCTTACAGTCCACCCCCTTTGGGTCCCAGCATCCTCACTGGCACTCATTCCCCTCTCTAACCGATGTGGGATCTCACAATCCACCTCCTTCAAGGCCTAGCGTCCTCGCTAACACACTGCCCAATGTCTGGCTCTAATACCATTCGTAACAGCCTAAGCCCACTGCTAGCAGATATCATCTACTTTAGCCCATTGCATATCGCCGTCAGCCTCACGATTTTAAAACGTATCTGCTAGGGAGACGTTTCCACACCCTTATAATAGAACGTTTTGTTTCCCTCTACCAATGTGGGATCTCACACGTTATAACTAAGAAACCATAGTAGCTTACTATTACTTAAGCAGTTCAGTTCAGATAAAACATGTCTGCCTTCATTCATGCAACAAAGAATTCACAACTACTACGGAAACTAGTACATGGATATTTTTTTACTTACAGCATGAGTGGTTCTGTAGGAAGGAGGATTGAGTGCTGCCGGAACCGTTTCATCTAGTGGAGTCAAAGGTGCTCCACCAGGTAGAGACGGCTTTGAGGCCTTTTTATGTGTCTGAAGAATGAAAACACAAATGTTGTCATTTAAAAATTTTAAAATCATGAAACTGCTACTTACAGTAGTTTAGTTTACGATGATCTTGAGGAAAACCAACATCAATAAGTGCAATTAAATAGAATTTTGGATGTACACAGATACAAGGAATAGCTTTAAGATTTCTAGCCCCCATCTTTTTCTTTAAACCAACTTTCATTAAGATGAATCGAAGAATCCGAACGACTAAGGAACCAGAAAATGCAAAGCCAAGAGCAGGGCTTACAAGAAGAAGCAGGAGAACAACCAACACTTTGTAGTAGAGAAAATAAAGGCAAGGCTATCACTAGAGGTTTAAATTCAAGTTACTGAATTGAATCCAAAAGGGGTTAGATACTATTCTCAACCCTTAAGGGTAACATGAAGAATACATAACTATATCATTACCTGCATCCGTGTAACTACCACCCATATCGGATTTGTCAACAGTACGTTAACGCACCTAAAGAATCAAAATATTGTAGACAAATTAGAGGGGAAATAATAATAAAAACTGAATATTGCAGATGTTTTGCTACCTATTTTAGTTGCATTTGAAGAGGTTTAAACTGGCTGAAGTAGATAATTAAATATAATGGAATAACGCATTCGAAAATGGACACAAGATCTGCAAACATGGGATGCAATCGAAATTCTCCATGTTTAATCTCAGTGCTTTTCATCCGCTTTCTTGTCTATAGTCTCCCTTTTCTTTGGTTAGAAATGAAGGTGTAACAGCTCAAGCCCACCGCTAGCAGATATTGCCCTCTTTGGGCTTTCTCTCAAGGTTTTAAAACGCGTCTACTAGGGGGAGGTTTCCACAGCCTTATAAGAATGTTTTGCTCCCCTCTCCAACCGATGTGGGATCTCACAATCCACTCCCCTTGGGGGCTAGCATCCTCACTGGCACACCGCCCGATGTCTGGCTCTGATACCATTTGTAACAGCCCAAGCCCACCGCTTGCAAATATTGTCCTCTTTGGGTTTTCCCTTGGGGTTTTAAAACGCATCTACTAGGGAAAGATTTCCACACCCTTAGAAGAATGCTTCGTTCTCCTCTCCAATCGATGTAAGATCTCACAGAAGGTGTTTACTATGAAAATGTAAATAATAAGGAACTCAAATCAAAACCACTCTACTAACAAACCCAGATACAGCAGCCACCAGAAGAGAGGAAAGCATCCCAACTGATCCGTCTCCAATCCCCGCCTTCATTCGTTCAAGAGAAGCAGCTTCAGCCTTGCTCCTGAATATTTGGTAGAAATAATAGTAAACACCCTGTACCAACAAAAATGTTTGTTCAAATGTAAGATGTCATGAATGTAAATAAAGAACACAAACTTGTTCAGAAGTTCAAACATAAATCTCTTTACTGGACCCAAATGGGCAATATAGAAAAGCTAAACATATATCAATGCAGTTTTTCCTTCCTAGAATAAGTAACAAGCTCAAGAAAGTAAACATTCTGCCATTTCTATGTCATTCATCACTGACAATGAATGAATTGGATGCTTAGAAACACAAGTTGTTGCCTTCTAAATATACAAAACAGATCGAAACTGCTCGTTCTCTAATTCTTTGTACCTATATAATCTTCACATTCTAATCCTAACAAAGATCATATATCAACAAGACCCACTTTGTCATTAAAATTTGGAAGTGTATGATATCATAGTATCAAGTAGACCAATCAAATGGGTTCTCACCTGAGACACAGACGTACCCACAAGAGACGGCCCCAAGCCACCATACAGCCGGTCCCATCCTTCATGTTTTACAACCTGCTCATGAATCAATCAGATAAGTAATTTCCCCACCCATTAGGCAGACATTTATACTGTCACTGCTCGAATTGAGTTCGGAAATCAGCAGCATGGTTTTCCAACAAGAACAGTATATCAAATATTGTAGACGAGGAAATTTCGAAAGCACCTGACACATCAGCTGCAATGTTCCAAGTTTCCTCTTCTCGTTCTTCACATCGCGCTCTGTTTGCTGCCGAGTATTCACCTGCAGAACAAACCAAACGCCTCTTGAATTCAACAACCCAATCAAATTTCAGGGTCTATAAACATGAAATTTAGTGGAAGATTTTACAGTTTGAAGAGGGTATGTGATGAGTTGAGCAATGACCCCTCCTCCAGCTCCAGCCAATCCATTGATCAACGCATCCGACATACTTTCCCGCTAAAACCCAACACGAGAAAGCGAAAAAAGGGTATATCAGAGGACAGAAATTGAAGCAAAAGCGCTATTAATTTCCCGGGAAAGTGCACCGGAGCATTGACGGGAAACAGAGAGATCTAACTCAAACACTTATTTGGAGAGAAACCATGTACGACTTTGGCTGTGTTCTACCCGAATGAAATTGACATTTCGATGGCCTTGGCTATGTGAGAAAATCTCGACGACTTGAAGATGGGAAATAACGCATTATTTTCTAATAAATTGAGGGAAAGGGCAGGTTTTAATTAATGGGTTGTTGATTAAAAATCAATTCATTGGTTCTTCATTATTCATGTGCTCAACTTCAAATCAAATGTCCAACTTTCAACCTCTATATTATTAAAAATGTGAATCTTTAAAATTTCAAATTAAAATGAACTAATTATATTTTTTATTTTCACGTTTAAATAGATATAATTTCATATGATATCGACATAAATATTGAATTGACAATGTTATCCTTAAAAATATTGGAACATGAAAATAAAATTAATAATAAATATTATGAATTGTTAGTGTTATTTTTCTAAGAACATCAATGGGAGGCATCAATATATCAATTTTAATATAATTAGACTGAATTAAGTATTGTATTTTAAATTAAAAATTATTATAAAATGAAAAAGGAAAAAAGAAGGGAAATTGACCATTTTACCCTTTAGAATGAGGGTATAAAAGTAAATACGAAAATATTAGTCAATGGAGTCTATCCGATGAACTTCTTGAGACGTGTGCCGGGACGTGACGTAACTTCTTCCGGAAACGCATTCTGTTATGCTTGGTGAGAAAATCCTTACCTTTTTTTTCTTTTTAAATAAAAAAATATCTATTTTTTATAAAAAAAAATATTCAACCAATAAAAATTAAAAAGATTATATAACATATTTTTCTCAATACGTAACTAAATTGAAATCATTTCTTAAATTAACGTTGTGGGCCGAAAAAAGCCCAATTGAATAAATGGGATAAGCCTCCTGGACCTAAGCCCAGCCCATCAGAACTTTAGGATATAAATCCTTTGCCTTACCTTCGTAGTCTTCATGGGAAAATTGGATTATTGTAAGGACAAGCTTACTTGCATGTGGTTAACTAGAGATTCAATAATGATCGTGTTGGGGGATGAATGTCCCACATCAGCTAATTTAGAGAACGATCATAGTTTATAATCAAGAAATACTATCTTCATTGATAAAGAAAAGTTATGAGAGTTTATGCTCAAAGTGTATAATATCATACCATCGTAGAAAGTCGTATTCCTCTAACATAGGTAAGAGGAAGATATTTACGTTGATTTATTATAATTAAATATTCGTAATGATTAACATTAATTTGATTGAAATCATATGACTTTTCTAGTTACCACCATTTAATACGTAATAAAATTGATAACAAAGGCAACAAGCAAAATCCATGCGAGGATAAGTGGGATGCAAAGTCTAAACTACCACACACATTACTAGACCACGGAAACTCCACGAGTGTATTAGTTGACTGACAAGACTCAAACTTTAGAATTATTAACTTTATAAGAAAAAGAAAATAACTTAAATCATAAGAGTGATTTAACAAAATTAAGAAAGAGCGAGACACAAGAAAAAGAAGCTTCTAGCTAAAGCCAGCTTGTCACGCCTTTTTGTCTGATTTGATTTTTTAGCGGGTTTTTTCTCTTCCAAAAATTAAAAAAGAAAAAAAGAAGAGGTAGTTAATGAGCTAATTTTATATAAACAAAGTCTTGAGAATTAATTATTGATTCAATCTTATCCCTTCCCAATATTTATATTTCATTGTCATCACACTATTATTCATTTCCAAAAATAATAATAAATTTAAATTAAAAAAAAAAAAAGGCATTAATATACAATAATATCCTGTTTGCCACCACAATAAATAAGATTGGGTTGAGAAGTAGGGCCCATAATTGTCTTTTACGTAACCAATATTCGCACAAAGAAAGCAGGTGGAAGAGAGTGGGTTTCATTATTTTCTCCATTTTTTTCCCTAAAATTGACCATACATGCTTTCATAGCCACACACACACACATCCATAATTACACATCACGCTCCATTCACTTACGAATCTCCATAAACATACAAACACCAAAACACACAAACGAAATGAAGGGCTATGATTCGATCACGTTTCACTTCGACTTGAACGGAATGGCTCTGATCACAACTTGGTGGTACAGAGCTGCCAGAGCAGCTCCAATGAATGGTCCCACCCAGAAAATCCACTGCAGTTAAGCAAAATTAAGATTAAGATAATTGAGATTAAGTTAAAATTAAGATTAGGATTAAGATTAAGATTAAGCAACCCACGTGATCATCCCAGGCTTTGTCATTGTTGTAGATGATGGCAGCACCCAAGCTTCGGGCTGGGTTGATGCCGGTGCCGGTGATTGGGATGGTGGCCAAGTGAACTAAGAACACCGCGAACCCAATTGGTAACGGGGCTAGGATCTGTTCAAACATTTTGAATTCTTTTAGTTTTAGCTCAATTATATGTTTTAGATTTTAATTTTAATTTTAATTTTTTGTTCTGCTTACGGGAACGTGGGAGTCTCTGGCGCTACGTTTGGCATCGGTGGCAGAGAAGACGGTGTAAACAAGGATAAAGGTGCCGACAATCTCGGCACCGAGGCCATCGCCCTTGGTGTACCCTTTGCTGACCATGTTGGCACCACCGCCGAGCCTGTTGTAGGGCTTGGGTTGGAAGCCCTTTACAACCCCGGCGCCGCAGATGGCTCCTAAGCACTGCATCACCATGTAGAAAATCGCCCTGGTCAACGACAGCTTCCTCGCCAGAAAAAGCCCAAAAGTCACCGCTGGGTTGATGTGTCCACCGGAGATTCCAGCCGTGCAATAAACCAGCGCAAAAATCATACCACCAAAAGCCCAAGCGATGCCCTGAATTCCAACGGTCTTGCACGTGTTGCCGTTGGCTTCATTGGACCGGACGACGCCCATGACAGTCAAAACGGTGATGTAAAGGAAGAGGAAAGTGGCAAAGAACTCCGCGATACCGGCTCTGTAAAAGGACCATGAAGTCAGCTCCTCTGGCTCGAACAGTGGCGCCGGTGGTGGCTCCTTATAGTCCTTAGCATCGTCCTGACTCTGCGCCGCCGTTCCAATCGGCTGCCTCTCGTTGAACTTGTTGGCTCCGAGCCTTACATCTTCTTCCTTCCCTTCCATTTCTCCAACCTCCTCTGTTTCTCACGGCGGCGGCGGACTGTGGTTGTCTTTAGCCAATGGCAGTAGTGAGGAAAGCGATGAGGAGGCGTAGGGTTTAAATAGCAACGCAAGTGAATTTAGTATGAAAATAACGGGACCCATTTAAAATGAAAAGAAAAAAAAAATGGTATTTTCTAGTAATTAAATTTTTTTAAAATAATAATCACAACCGACCAATCATTTCTCTGGGGTTTTCTGGAGAACGGTGCAAAATGACAGAGAAGGGCGGTCGGTTTGGCGGATAAGTGTGCCACGTGGCAAAATAATAGCCACAAAGGAGTGGTAGAGTGGAATATGTGGAATAATGCGGCCAGACGGTGAACTAATGTCTCATGTAATAATAAGGTTATGATTGTAGTTTCGAGTGTTTACTGGGGGTAATTATGGAATTTCACCAGTTGGGACCGAGTTGGAAGTTTCGAGATGAATCTGTGGCTGGAATTTAATTGGATACGAATATTGACTGAAAATATTGGAAATTTGATGTATTATTGTTTACTTTAAGGGTTTTAATTGGATAATATTGTTTTTTTTTTAAATAAATGTAGCAAATATTTAAAAGCATACATTTATATACAATTATTGCCCCAAGCCTATATTCTACCGAATTCTTTTGACTTTTTTGTTTTATAAGGTTAAATTTATGTTACCATATACGATATACGATCAATATTGCAATTCAAATAAATAATAAATTAGATATTTAAAAGAGAAAAAAAACAAAAAATTAAGTATAGGTGGAAAGAAAATAAATATACACAATTAGTGGAGTGTAAATAGATAATTAATCTAAATTTTAAAAGAGAATTAATTAATGTGGAATTAATAAAAAAAATGATGGGTTAGCCAATGATAACTTATGTTATCGACCTCACGCAATCCATTTAATATATTAAGGTTAAATTATTAAAAATAAATAAATACACATAAACTTGAGGTGTTCTATAAATTTTTTTTTAGCATCTATCCATATTCAATCTAAAAATTTTGGAAATATACTTTATCGAGAAAATTATTGTTATTATTTATTTAGTTTATTTTTTTTAAATTGACCTCTTATTAAAAAAAACATGGATTTAAATGAAAATATGACCAAATAAATATAATTTTTGAAGGAGGTTGTGGGAAAAATGGAATGACAATGAATCATCCGTTGGGCTGCAGCCGCCAGCTGATGGTTGGCCATACACTTGTAAAGCTATTGGGACAATCACTCCACATGGCATTAGCTGGTTGGGCCTTGGTTTTTTAAGAGTAATATTAAAAGTTTTGGAAATTTATGTATTTTTTTTTTTTATTAATTTATCCTAAATATAATATAATTTATATTAATTTTATTTAGAGAAGAGTTTTTATTATCACAATTCTTGAACACTTAATCCATTAATTTCACACTTGATTTCATACAAAAACGTAGATCATAAAGAGGTAGGCATAAAATTAAATCGAGATTTCGACAATTGATGGATCATGAGATGAACAAAGGCATTATTATTTAACCATAATCAGAAATCTTCACTTGGACTTGAAGGGTATGGCTCTGATCACCACCTGGTGGTACAAAGCTGCCAATCCTGCTCCAATGAACGGTCCAACCCAGAAAATCCACTGCAAAACACAAAATCAAATACGGTTTAATTCACCCAACATTAACATTAACATTAACATTATGATTAAAACACCCACGTGGTCATCCCAGGCTTTTTCGTTGTTGTAGATGATGGCAGCGCCCAAACTCCGAGCAGGGTTGATGCCGGTGCCGGTGATCGGAATGGTTGCCAAGTGAACTAAGAACACTGCGAACCCAATTGGCAGCGGTGCCAAAATCTGTTCAAAACATTTCCTTTAGTTCGTATAATAAATATATATATTTTTTAGTACGATTCTACACAGTAGTATGATTTTGTTTATAAACTCGTGATCATTTCTTAAATTAATAGAGGTGGGACTTTTATCGTCCAACAATTTTTACTTACGGGAACATGCGAGTCTCTGGCGCTACGTTTGGCGTCAGTGGCGGAGAAGACGGTGTAAACAAGGATAAAGGTACCGACGATCTCAGCGCCGAGGCCGTCTCCTTTAGTGTATCCCTTGCTGACCACGTTAGCTCCACCGCCGAGCCTGTCGAACGGCTTGGGTTGGAACCCCTTCACAACACCCGCGCCGCAGATGGCGCCAAGGCACTGCATCACCATATAGAAAATGGCCCTGGTCAACGACAGCTTCCTCGCCAGAAACAGCCCAAAAGTCACCGCCGGGTTGATGTGGCCACCGGAGATCCCAGCGGTGCAGTAAACCAACGCAAAAATCATACCACCAAAAGCCCAAGCAATGCCCTGAATTCCAACGGTCTTGCACGTGTTGCCGTTGGCTTCATTGGACCGAACGACTCCCATAACCGTCAAAACGGTTATGTAAAGGAAGAGGAAAGTCGCGAAGAACTCCGCGATTCCAGCTCTGTAAAACGACCATGAGGTCAGCTCCCCCGGCTCGAATAACGGCGCCGGCGGTGGCTCCTTGTAGTCTTTGCCATCGTCTTGGCTCTGCGCCGCCGTTCCAATGGGCTGCCTCTCGTTGAACTTGTTGGCTCCCAATCGTACGTCTTCTTCCTTTGCCTCCATTATTTTCACTTCTTCTTAGATCTCTGTCCTACGATCCAGCCATTGGTGAGTGTTATATATATATATATATTGAATTTTCTAACGATTTATCGAATTTAATTAATATAAAACTTGAAGCAAAAATTTAATTAATATACGGACAGAGATAGAAAAACATATCGTGACAGCGTGTCATGGTTGAAATAAAATTTGGGGAAAAAAACCCGTAATTTGGGGTGGATGAGGTGACAGAGCTACAGCCACCTGTCAGAATATACACATGTCTTATGCACCATTGGGATTCTTTTTTAAATTATTATAGACAACTGTGCCCTCTAATCTCCGTATGATTTGACAACTCTTGTCAATAATGCATTTAACCAAAAATCAATTTAAATTTATATTATTTAATAATAGAAACGTTTACTATTTTATCCCTATCTCCAATCTTTAACTTCAAACTCAATAAACGTAAAAATAAAGGGAAAAAGATATTGTAATTGCTTAAATTATTAAATAAATTTAAATAAAAATTTGAAGTTGGAAAAAGAAAATAATTATTGAATTAAAAAAAGAAGTGGTTGTTAAGGATTAGTGAATGATTGGATAAGGTTAATTAATATAATTAAAAACAAAATTAAAATATAGTTTGGAGATAAGATTCGAAATTCAGCTATGCGACAACAATACTTTTTTAGGTTTGCAACCGCCTCTTTATTTTCGGCCATTTATTTCATTAAAAAAATATTGCCTGGCAATCACATGATGGTGGGACCCTGGGTCCCAACCACTTATTTTTCCACATTTTTTAATTTAAAATTTTAATTATTATTTATTGCTTACATACCCTAATCTTTTTAAATATTTTCTTTCAAATTCTTTCTGCTTCATTAAAGTAGTTGGGATTAAATCACTCGAATATTTAAGGTCCGACAATTTCTGGTTAATTTTTTTTACTTTAAAAGTTAAAAAATTTCGAAATTTAACTTTGTCTTTTTCATTAAATTGCAATTTGCACCAACATTTGTGACTTTTTTTAAATTTGTCCCAACGACTCTTTATTCCAACTTTTTGTTTGTTTGGTTGTTTATTATAATATTTTGGGTGGCTCGATAAGAAGCCAAGAAAATAATTATTTTGGTTTTGGGGTTTTTTAATTGTTTTATGTATTTGTCTATTTGGGAGACCTGAATTTAATTACTATTTTATTGTATGGGTTACAATGAATAGAACAAAGGAAAATTTTAGGACCTTGCAACTTGGTCTCAAAGGTCACGTTGTTTTGAGGTCTTTGTAACTTGTTTTTTCGAACATGAATTTGTCTTCAGGGCTTTATAGAGATTAATAATAAAAATATCGGGAGAAACTAGGGGCGTTCACCGAACTCGAGAACGTGAAATTCAACTCTGCATTATAAGGGTTAGGTTCATGTCAGTTCGACCCATCTTGAAAACATTAAAAAAAAAAAAAAAAAAAAGAAGGATACCAAACGACTGAACATGCCGAAGCACACTATTTGTGTCCTGCGACATCTTGCGAAGCTGAAGCCTAAAGCCCGCTCTTTTGTGTCCTCCAAAGTCAAAGCCACTCTTTGCATGTTTATCTGCACTTCATCTATATAATTATGAAAAAATTCATGAATAATTCCTTCGATATCTCGATTATGGGTAAGGATTTTATCAAATCATTAAAACTATTTATTATTAGGCGGATATGTAAAATGTGATTTATATTTTATTGCTCGGGAGTATGATTTATAGTACTTAAAAAAGATTTGAGCTAAAATGTCTATATTCTAATGAAAAGTGCCATGTTCATGTACAACTCACCCTCGTCGTTTTGGTTGGTCCCATTTTAAATCCAAACTCGATTGAAACTCAAGTCTAATGAATTTAAGTTCTCGGTTCTGGATCGAACCAATTTAACTTAGAAGACCATGGTCCTGATTAGATCATTGAGCTTGGACCTACCCATTTGGATTAACTCATTCAACATTAATTGTTTCGGAGGGGTCTGTAGAGGCTGTGGAACAATGAATAATGAAATAAATCTATTGAAGTTTTGGTTGCATGCACGGCCGGCGCCGCTTGTCCTTGTGCGTGTATGCAGCAGATAAACTTCCGCTTCACAAATCCTTTGAATGATATGAAAAATAACACCATAGCTAAGGAGTTGTTTTTGTCACATAAGAACAAAATTCTCAAAAACATTATGAAATCTGTAAACATATTAATCGAACAAGCTGAAACCAATGTCATCATCAGACTCTTCTGCTGGCTCTTCCTTCTTCTCTTCCACTGCTGCAGCAGCTGCCGTGGCAGAGCTAGAATCAGCAACAGCAGAAACGGACACAGCCGCCGCAAACTTGCTTGGATCCTGCACAGAAACATCACAGCAACAACTAGGTATCAGCTAAAGCAAACAAGATAGATTCAAAGAAAGGCAAGAACTTTGTAAAGATGTGACATAGTACCTCGAGATACTCCTTAACTTTCTCGGCTTGTGGGAACGAGTAGTCGGTGGCAACTGCAACAGCAAGAAGATTTTTGTATGCATTGATGAGCATGTGTGGTGCAGCAGCCAGAGTTGGGTATGAAACGGCCAATGACAATGATGTAACCATGGAAACACCCAAGGCAAACTTCTCGAGGAGATCGTCCTCGGTCAGATCAAGCACCTCAGGGCTGAAGACTGAACCATTGTCATAAGCAGAGAGAACAACCAGACCATATGAGAATGGCCTAATTCCTAGCTTGGCAAGGAGAGCAGCCTCAGACGATCCAACCTTCTCACCCTTCTTAATAAGCTCCACGGGAGTGATAATTTCAACAGTACCCTTGTTAATCTTGGTAGGAATGTTAAGAACCTGGAACCTGTATGAAGAAGAATTAGAAAAACTCAGACATCATTCATGGAAACTGGTGGTTTACTTTGTAATCAAATTTACAAACCTGGAAGAAGGAGGTCTGTGATGGATCAAGCCCTGTGTTGCCTGGTGGAACAATGACATCAATGGGAGCAACCAAACCAACACGAGCAGGGGCTCCAACCTACATAATTTACAAAGCATACGCATGGGAAAACACTTAAGCCTCAATGATATATCACAACAGACTAAACATCTAATTCATGGAAAATTTTGAAAAAATTACAAAACTGCAAATAGAAGAGAATGGATCGTACATGATCTCAATCAAATCAATGCCCGCCCAAACACTTAAGTGACGAGACAGATTTTTCAAAACCATTAACGATGACATATTCTACAATAACAATCTAATAATCTGTGATAATACAAAAACAAAACAGTAACTTCAAGGATAGAATGTGTTGAATTTGAAGCAAACTAACAAAAACAAAATGATTGAATAAATACATGATGTGAAAGATTCACAATAATAATCAATCATTCAGCGTAAAGAAAATGCCGCTTAAAATTTCAAACTTAATGTGGTTATCCCATTTTGGTAGTATCTATATGGAACACTAACAGAGTATCTATCCAATGTAAACACCGAAAAGAACAGCAAGTAGTAGTCTGCACACCTTGTATTTGGCCACCTCTTCACTGACTTCCTTCAAATCACCCTTTGTGAAGATCAACCCAACATTTCCCTAATACAATCAATTACCAACGTGCCATGTCAAACACTTCAATATGACAACAGAAAAATGGAAATTCGAATCAAAATACAAAACCCAGAATTTTACTTACCACAAGGGGAAGAAGACTGAGGTAAGCCTTGTTTCCAGTCTTCTCAGAGTAAATCCTCACAGAACGCTTCATCATGGTGTTTTTTCCCATGAGCACAATAGAGTCACCACGGAGACCCTTCCAAATGTTCTGGAGCTGGTTTGATCCGACATTGTCAGCGGCCACAATCAAGACCTGACTGTAATCATCGAGAAGCTGACAGAGCTTGGCGTCGTATGCTACCTTTTTTTCAGCCTTGGTAAATTTCACGATTGAATTGAGTTTCTGAAAGAATTCTAAGATAAAACAAAAAAGGTTAATGGAATAAAGAACAAAGCAAAACCGAGGGCCAAGACGAAGCCGAGGGCTCTGTCAAGGCGGACAGCGGAAGCTATGCCGTCTCTTTAACCTCAGTTAATTTAGGGTTTTGGACAACTCCTGGGGAGCTTAACACACTGGTGGAAGATGACAATGGCGGCTGGTTCGATTTTATATGGTCAATGTCCAATATGGGCCATACGCTTTAAGAGCCCAATAAGATAGGCCCATCAAGAATAGCAGAATGGCGAATCGGCCCAAGCCCATTAGATTCACCCCATCGTCGTCGTTGGCCAGCGATCATCAAGGAGTGTTTCAACAGGTGCGTGTAACTAACCAACGAACATCAATTTCAATCCAATGCCTTGAGTTTTCAGTAGTACCGGCAACGGCAAATGGTTTCCATATATCGTGATCGGACGTCGGAGTTTCGGTCGCTGTCGGATACGCTGAGGAAGATTGCCGGAGTCACAGCCGACGTTCATCCAGTTCAAAATGAACCATCGGCGTCCGTACTCTCCGGATCACCGGGCTTTGCACGGTCTGAATTCAGCAGGAAGGCATCTCTTATCGGCTGGGGAATCCAAGAAGCCTCTCAGAAGATCGCGAGGCTTGCTCAGTGTATGCATTAAAGATATGCTTTTAATTTACCTTCTTTTGCTTCGTGTATCTTTTCCAGTTCTGTTTGGATGGTGTTAAGGATATTTAGTAATAAATTATAGTTTACCATATATATTATATTTGATATTTTATTATAAGGCAAATATAGATATTTGCCTTATTACTATAGGTATCTTTCCATTTATTGTTATTTCCATTTATTACTATTTCCATATCCTTGTAATTTATTTGATTATAAATAAGATAACTTTCACACCATTTAGGTGTGGTGGATTAAGCAAACATTCACATGGTATCAGAGCCATTTTGGTTTAGCAACCTAGATCCTTTCTTTTCAATGGCTTTTGAAATCTTCTACTGTTCTTCTCCACCACCACTGTTGTCTTTGATGCCACAGGGGCAGTCGTCATGGCTGTCACATGCAGAGTCGATTGATTATTCTTCGGCTCCACCTTTTTGACCTCCAAATCATCCTTCGCCATACTCTGTACATACAACCTCACTTTTTCCAAACATAGCCTCTTTCATTTTCTTCCCAATTTTTCCCTTCATCATTCATCCTTCACAAAAACCCTAATCTTAGGATCTTCATCAGCATCCCTCTTCGAAAATATACAGAATCTCAATATGCCCATCGACCTTCTGCAGAGATTTACCTTTGGAATCTGGGCGCCGCACTGGCATCTTCGCCAACCAAGTTGCCGCCGCCCTTCTCGCCAAAATTGGCTCCTTCGCCCCAATGTGGCGACTCTTCCAGCTGCCCTTCTCGCCAAAATTGGCTCATTCGCCCAATGTGGCGACTCTTCCGGCTTCAACATTGTCTTTGTCCCTTGCTCTAGGTTTCCCCTTCTACTTCTTGGGGTTAGACATATTCTCACCAGAGCCAAGTCAGCATCGTCGCTAAGCGACAATCCCTCTTCATGGGTTAGACATATTCTCACCGAAGCCAAGGCAGCATTGCTGCTGAGCGGCGATCTCTCTGCAGTTTTCGATGGCCAAGAAAGTGTTTCTCTACGCCTCCTCTGAACCAGGTTGTTAACATCTTCACGAAAAGTGTTTTTCAACCCCTTTGAATTTTTCAGATTCAAGCTTCACGTTCGTTTAAATCCGACGCTTAGCTTGCGGTGGGGTGTTAAGGATATTTAGTAATAAATTATAGTTTACCATATATATTATATTTGATATTTTATTATAAGGCAAATATAGATATTTGCCTTATTACTATAGGTATCTTTCCATTTATTGTTATTTCCATTTATTACTATTTCCATATCCTTGTAATTTATTTGATTATAAATAAGATAACTTTCACACCATTTAGGTGTGGTGGATTAATCAAACATTCACAGATGGTATCTGGGTTGATTTTCTGTTTGTTTGTTTGTTTGTTTATAATTTAGCAATTACAAAACACATATTAAGAATGATAACTAGGGCACTTTTTGTCCTTCTGAACTCTGCAGTAGCAAAAAGATCATCGATGTTTGATGATCCAATCAGGGAAATCCAGGAAATGACTGCTTTGATTAAGAATGATATTACATCATTGAATGTAGCTATCTCAGATTTGCAAGCCATCCAAACGATGGAGATAGCAGAGGGGAATTATTCTGAGGACAGAGTTGTTCATTCAACCGCTGTCTGCGATGACCTCAAGAGTAAACTCATGGGAGCTACAAAACAACTTCAAGATGTGTTAACTGCAAGAACAGAGGTCTGTGTGAACAATACATTCTTTACATACTCAACTTAGTCAGCTAGCTTCCAAATTATTTCAATCCATGGTGTAGTTATAGTTTTTCTACAGAATATCAAGGCCAATGAGAGCCGGAGACAAATATTCTCTGCAAATGCAACTAGAGAAAGTCCTTTTCAAAATCAAGCTAAAACTGTAACTCAACCTCCACCTTGGTTAAGTAATACATCTGAAAGTGCTCAATCATCCTTGTGAGTATTCATTGTTTGACATGATGATAGGACAATTTTCCCCCTATAACTTTGTTACTTATGCTTTATCTTATTGTCAGGTTGTCATCAAATGGAGGTCAAGCTGGGGGTCAATTGAGGTTTGTTTGATGCTACTTATCATGCCCTGTATTCTTGTTTGATGCTCAAGTTAATATATTTGGTTGCTTATTGTGAGATCCCACGTCAATTGGAGAAGGGAACGAAACATTTTTTATAAGGGCGTGGAAACCTCTCCCTTACAGACGTGTTTTAAAACCGTGAGGCTGACAATGATACGTAACGGGTCAACGCGGACATTATTTGTTAGTGGTGGGCTTGGGTCGTTACAAATGGTATTAGAGTCAGACACTAGGCGATGTGCCAGCTAGGACACTAGGTCCTCAAGGGGGATGGATTGTGAGATCTCACATTGGTTGGAGAGGAGAACGAAACATTCCTTATAAGGGTGTGGAAACCTCTCCCTAGTGAACTCAATTTAAAACCTTGAGTGGAAGTCCGAAAGGGAAAGCACAAAAAGGACAATATCTGTTAGCGATGGACTTGGGCGGTTGCACTTATGAAAACTCTTTTTTTTTTAATTTTTTTTATCCTATTGGTTAGTAGATGCAGTGCAGTAGAATAATGTGCTTGTTCATAACTAATTATATTGTGTCTTGTTAAGTCAGACGAAGGCTAGCTGTGGAGGTCATCCCATCACAGCAAATGGAGATGTCAATGTTACAGCAGGTGGTTCCTAGGCAGGAAAACTATTTACAAAGTCGGGCAGGTGCTCTCCACAATGTGGAATCCACCATTTCAGAACTGGGTGGAATTTTTACACATCTTGCCACAATGGTAGCACATCAAGGAGAACTTGCTATCAGGTATTATGTCTTAATTGATTAGCTTCCATCCTCTGAATTAAGTTTGATTATTGGGGTTCATCACCAGGATTGATGACAACATGGATGAATCAATGGCGAATGTAGAAGGTGCTCGAACCTCTCTCTTTAGGCATCTTAACCAGATATCATCAAACAGATGGCTTCTTGTCAAAATATTTGTGATTTTAATCATTTTCTTGATGCTCTTTATTTTCTTGGCATAAACATCAGCCAACTTCTAAATTTTTGCCCACCTTTCTCCATGTCTATCCTGTAGATTCAATGATATTCCTTTGCTTAGAGGTTCTGTTAAGTTTGGGTGTACACGAACGCAGCATCTTGTTATATATCTTTTACAAAAGTAAGCATATATAATATACTGTATTGCGGGAGTTTGGACTTGGATTTGTTTGTGCACATATCAGAATCTAAATCATAATAATTGTATTCTCCTTGCTCTATGCTTCATAGCTTGAGAATCATACCAGTTTATATATATATATATATATGCCTTTTTCTAATTTGTTTTTATATCACTTGTCCTTGAGTTCTCCGCCTTAATGAGTGTTCAAATAAAGAAAAGTTAGTTTTCGTCTCGGCGGGGATGTTTTTTATTTTTGATAGAGAGGTAAGACACTAATTATCATTTTAAAATTTGACGATTCGATCTCCCACTAATTATCTTAAAAAGAGTGATTAAAAGGAGGAGAATAATTTACTTTTGCTTTTATGGCTGCATTAAATGTTGGATCTTTGTTTAATAATGATATGATTAATGGTAAAGCTGCCCTTATTGTCCCATACCATACAAAAAATATATAGAAGCAAACCCTTTCCAGCTAGCGTGTTTGACTAACCTATGCTTTATTTTGATTTCGATTAATCTTGTTATGATGATTCGTGACGCGTCGTTAATATTTTTTAAAATCAAGCGATCTTTGATAGATTACCACTTTTACCTATGATTGATATAAAATGATACCTAATAAGTAGCTATCAGTTAACTTCGTGGATGTCAAACATTAATTATCATTCCAAATTGTCGTCTTCATGCCTCACGAGGAAGTCGAAAATCGTTCTTTGCGCTCAACAAGAACATTTGTAAAAGAATGAGTATTTAAAAATAATCAATAAATGACTCCATAGCTTGCATTGAAAAATAAATTCACATACAATATGTCACAAAAAAAAAAATCTTCACGCCATATCTCTCTTTTTTAATACCCGTGTTAACCTCGTAATAATAGAATAAATTAATGTGATATTAGCTTCATCGGATAAGATTCAAAGTAAAGTTACAAAATTTTGGGACCTTTCTTTTCCATATTCTCTTAAGGATTTGTTTTAGAGCACGTTAATAAGTTCCTAATAATATAAAAAAAAAAATTAAAAAAAAAGATTATATGGAAGGATTCTTTCGGGTTAACACTAACACAAAATTTAGGGTTTCGCGAAGATTTATTTAGAAGAACTAAGATGTCACCGTTTAGTTTAAGAATTTGTTTGGCTAATCTAAACATAATTCAACAGTGATATATGGTCGATAGTAATAATCCAAGTTTCAAATATAATTAAAATATATATATAAATAATTATTTTAGGTAAATTTAAAAATATGTTGGTGTGACAAATTTTTACATTTTTTAACCGTCACCAATTACCTCTCATCTTATTAAAGAGTTTATTTTTTATTGTTTAATGTTGACCCACTTAGAGCAATAAGTAATTAAAAATATTTATATATGGGGAAGTGTGAAAGAAGTTAAACATTAATTAATTTATATGATGATAATTAAATTATTAATTAAAACAAAGGGGGAATGAAATTGTGAGAATAATATGATAGTAATATTAAAATATGGGAAATTGCATGATGATTTATGTAAAGCATGGAAGAAAATGATGAACATCATCATCATTATTTTGAACTTCTTTTTTTAACCATGAACTAATCTCAAATATCTTTTATTCTTTAATTCTTTGTAATCTCAAATCGAAAATATATATAAAATTTTAAGATGGTACAAAAGAAATAATTAAATTAGATTATCACGAAAGTCCCATCTAACAAAATTCCTTCTTTTTTTTAAACTTTGAATTATTATATTACGTGAGGCATTGATTATTTGATAAGACGTTTGAAGGAATAGCAAGGAAAAAGGCTCATCAATTTTCAAATCTTATTTACTTTTTTAAACTATAGAGAATGTTTTTCGAACACAATTATGATTATCAAACATTTATGTAATTAATATATTTTTGTTTTAATAAAAAAATTAAAAAATCGGTATCGTTTTTGTTGATTTAAAAGGATCGATATCACAAAAAAAGAAAGATGAATTCTATAAGAACCACAAATTGTAAAGTGATCTTGGTATTCACACTTTATAAAATTGATGATGGAATTGTGCCTAATTTTGTTAAACAAGATTCCAAATAGAAGTCAGTGTCTAAAAATAAAATGTGCCCACTTCCAAATCACTCATCTTCTTAACAACATTACTTCCATTTTAATCCATAATTCCTTTTCTTAATCATTTTTTTTTTGTTTCCAATTAAAATTAAAAAAGATTCAATTTTGATCCGTATATATGTCTTAATTTATTGAGATTTACGTTTAAATGGTGAGTATCATGAGTAAAGTATATCTTCTTTACTTTAAACTCAAAAAATAAAAAGAAAAATTATTGACGACATTGAAAAGATTGTTTACCCACAAAAAACTATTTCATTTCATCTACTTGGAGTGAGTTTTACTTCCTAAATCCAACCTACATTTATCACCCCAATTTTATTAAGGTTTTAAATAATAGTTCACTCTTTAAAGTTTTTCGAATTCAATTTAATTTTTCCGACCCAAATCTTTTTTTTGGAGTAGTTGATGGATTCGAACTTCTAATTTTTTAACGGGTAAGGGGTAACTAAAAGGAATTGGTTTCCTGAATTTTATATATTATTCATACCAAGGCATGAAGTTTTGAATGAATAGGGTTGGGGTTGCTCTGCGTAAAGGACTCTCCTCTGTTTTCCTCTGCTTTCCTCTGTTCTCTGCAAACTCTCCAACTCCAACAAAAATCACACAATCCAACGAACCCGAGATGAGGTTTTTTTTTGTTTTTGGGTTTTCTTCTTACATTTCGTTCCTTCTTCTACTTTCTTGAAACTCCCAAAATTCAGTTTTCATTTCATTCCAGTGGGTAACAACCAAGAAAGTAGCTCAACCACAGAGTTTTAAGCTTTAAAGCACTGCCAAACCTTCCCATTTCCTAAAATTCTCCCTAACCTATCTTCTCAAGCAAACCTCTAAATCTTACCTCAAATCCCCCATCGCTGCTTGCGGGTTCCTTTCGAATTACGAGTCACCCCCTCCACTCAAATGCCCCTCTTCACAAGTTTAAACACACAACCCAACTGAACCCACTTTGAATCTTTCATTTTCGGTTTCTGGGTTTTGTTCCTTCGAGGGAATAATGGCGCCTGCCAAACAGAGTACAGAGGAAGCCATCGTTCCCAGCTTCAATCAGACGACGGAACAAGAAGAATACAGAGAAGAACAGAGGGAGGAAGGAGATGAATCTTTGGTCGGATTCAAGAGCTTTCTGTGGCATGGTGGCTCTGTCTATGATGCTTGGTTCAGCTGTGCCTCCAATCAGGTACCGTATTACATGGCCTTAACCTTTCAAGTTCCATAGAAAATCACAAGATTTAGTCATTTTCAGCATTTTCTTTTGCAGGTGGCTCAAGTTCTGTTGACTCTGCCCTACTCTTTCTCTCAACTGGGGATGCTTTCGGGGATCATTTTGCAAATTTTTTACGGATTTCTCGGGAGCTGGACGGCTTATTTGATCAGTATTTTGTATGTCGAGTACAGAGGGAGGAAGGAGAAGGAGAACATTAGCTTCAAAAACCACGTCATTCAGGTTAAAAAAAAAAAAACAGAGTTTGTAAGTCTGGTCTCTGTTTTTCTGAACAAAATTGTTGATCATTTTATCAAATGTCTGGTGTTTTGACAGTGGTTTGAAGTTCTAGATGGTCTTCTTGGGCCGTGGTGGAAAGCAATTGGATTGGCTTTTAACTGTACTTTCCTCCTCTTCGGCTCTGTCATTCAGCTCATTGCTTGTGCAAGGTCCTTGTGTTTTCTTATCTTCTTTTCCTCCTCCTTCTTTGAAAACATTTGGACAATGAAATATGGGGTTTTGTTGCAGTAATATATACTACATAAATGACAAATTAGACAAGAGGACCTGGACTTACATATTTGGAGCTTGCTGTGCCACCACTGTGTTCATACCCTCATTCCACAACTACAGAATCTGGTCGTTCCTTGGCCTTGGAATGACCACCTACACCGCCTGGTATTTGACTCTGGCTGCGCTCCTTCACGGTCAGGTAATTCCGACAGCAAACCAACCAATCCCTATCTATCAACCCCTCGGTAACATGTCATTTTGTTGTAGGTCGAGGGTGTCAAGCATTCAGCTCCCACTGAGCTGGTTCTGTATTTCACCGGCGCCACCAACATTCTTTACACATTCGGTGGCCATGCCGTCACAGTGTACATACGCCTTGTCATGATCATTGTCGTCTGATATTAATTTCTGTGCTTGAAATTGGAGTTTGTTTTTGCAGAGAAATTATGCACGCGATGTGGAAGCCTCAGAAGTTTAAGTATATATACTTAGTGGCCACTCTGTATGTCTTTACGCTTACCCTGCCTTCGGCCACCGCCGTCTACTGGGCTTTTGGCGACCAACTTCTCACCCATTCCAATGCCTTTTCCCTCCTCCCTCGCTCTCCGTGGCGCGACGCTGGCGTCATTCTCATGCTCATTCACCAGGTTAACTAATTTAGAGAATACTAATGGACTTTTAAGACTCTGCTCCAATTGATTTGGTAACAGGGGAAATATTTGATTTTTGATGGCAGTTCATAACATTTGGGTTTGCTTGTACGCCACTGTACTTCGTGTGGGAGAAAGTGATAGGAATGCACGACACGAAGAGCTTATGTTTAAGGGCCCTTGTTCGGCTGCCGGTGGTGATACCCATATGGTTTTTGGCGATTATATTCCCATTCTTTGGCCCAATAAACTCCGCCGTCGGAGCCCTTCTCGTTAGCTTCACTGTTTATATCATCCCTGCTCTGGCTCATATCCTCACTTATCGATCCGCTTCTGCCCGGCAGGTAAATAACTCAATCTAGTTTGAAGTTAATTTTAATCCAAATTGGTTAAATGGGTTTTTCTTTTCTGTTGTAGAATGCATCGGAGAAACCTCCGGCGGTGTTGGGGAGGAGCTGGACGGCGATGTTTGTGGTGAACGCGTGCATAGTCACGTGGGTTCTGGTCGTCGGATTCGGGTTCGGCGGGTGGGCCAGTATGGCCAATTTCATCAAACAAGTTGACACATTCGGACTCTTCGCCAAGTGCTACCAGTGCCAGTCCAAAGCGCCGTCGTCCACGGCGGCTCATCGTTGATCAGTTCAGAGTTGTTTCTTTGCTGCTTTTTTCTTACACCATTATCTTTTGTTATTATTATCTTCTTCAGTCCTTGTGAATGTAAGGTTTGCGTCATCAATATAAACAAACTCTATATCTTAGGGCTATATATATATATATATATATACATATTTGTGTAATACATAAATATTTGTAATACAAATACTAAATTTAAAATTAAATACAGACAAACAAAAATTACTTGGACTAAACATACAGGACATTAGGACAAGAAACTCAGGGAAGAAAAAAAAAAGGCTAAAAAGGGCCCAACCGGGTTCGAACCGGTGACCTCTTGATCTGCAGTCAAATGCTCTACCACTGAGCTATGGACCCGTTGTTGCTCGTTGGTTGATATATTTTATTAAATTATAATATTACGAATTTCCATTTTATTTATTTAAAAGTTAAAACATACGGCAATTTGATTGGGCTTTGGGGCCAATACTTAAGTCCTTCAGAAGATTGAAGCCCAACAACAAGTACGACATGTCGAATCCGATGGCCATGCAAGTTTACACGATCAATTCAAAACGATAGTAGAAAATAAATTAAACATAATCCCCTTTCTAATTATCCTTATTTTATTCTCTTAATCCCACCTCCATTTACAAATAAAAAGAGGGATATTATAATAGGAAAAAGAAAGTGGGTGAGCGCACATGCAGGGCAGGTGTGGCAGGAGGTAAAGAGAATCTTGTACTACCGGAGATAGTATTATTGGATTATAAACTCATGATCATTCCCTAAATTAGCTTACGTGAGATTTTCATTACAAGTAAGACCACCGGTGAAAACAACAATTCCCGGCTCTCTCATCCCTATTTTCCCTTGAAAACAACAATTCCCCACTTTCTCTCTCTAAAGATCAGATTTTTATTTATTTCCCTTCCATGTCTCCAAATTTGCTCTAGAACCCATTTCCCGTTTTCCATTTTCAGTTCAATCCCCCATGGCTTTCTTCTTCTTCTTACTTTTTTCCTCTCTTTTCGCCTCTTCTCTCTTTCTCTTCCTCCGCTCCGCCACATGCCGGCGAGTGCGCCTGCCGCCGGGAAGTCTCGGCCTCCCTTTAATCGGGGAGACCCTTCAACTAGTTGAGTTGGGTTGAGGTTGAGGTTGATATATATTAGTACTAAAAACGATAATAGGGGCAAATTGGTAATTTGAGATTGTCGTGATCGATGTGGTTGTTGAGGATAACGTTGACTGAAAAAGAAAGGAATGGGGGTGGTGACAGGAAGAGCAGGAGAAAATCAAAGGAAGGAAGAAGGAATCAGTGCAACAGCTCCTCCAATGGAATGATTACAAGTCCATGCCTTTCACCCAATGCGTGAGTATGTTTTATACCCTAAATTAAATATTTTAATAATTTCATATTCATTCCTTTATTATTTCTTTCTATAATAAAGGTTGTAAATGAAACCTTGAGAGTTGGCACCATAATCAATGGAGTTTTTAGGAGAGCTATCACAGATGTGAATATCAAAGGTAACTAACTACGTATTAGTCCTTCGATTGTTATTATATGAATCAAACATACGTAACAACACAACATTGATTGATTCAGGTGGTTATACAATTCCAAAGGGATGGAGGGTTTTTGCATCGTTTCGTGCAGTTCATATGAACCATCATCATTTCAACGATGCTCGCTCCTTCAACCCATGGAGATGACAACAGGTACAATCTGTCAAATCTCAATCCTCTCAATACTTTACCATTCCTAACTTTTTTCTCTGCAACCGAGCAGAATAGCTTGGAGTCGACCACAAATGCATTTACACCATTCGGAGGAGGTCCGAAGTTATGCCCTGGTCACGAGCTTGCCAGAGTAGAAATCTCTGTTTTCCTTCATCATCTTGTTACGCAATTCAGGTATTGGTAATGTCTCAAACAAAGTTCGAAATATGGAAGCAACTCTACTAAAGATCTATGATTTTCAGATGGGTTCCAGCAGAAGATGATAAGTTGGTGTTTTTCCCAACTACAAGAACACAGAAACGCTATCCTATCTACGTCACCCGCAATGACGAAACAACACAAAGTAACGACACTCATCTATGACTTGGGGTTTCAATCTATCCCTCTCTTGATTTTGTATGAATAAGATTATATGCTAAATTAATGAGTTTTAGTACACACAATATGAAGCTACTACTCAAACAGTACAACCAGCCAATGAATCACTTCTCTCGGCGGCCACTTCCCAAGAGCACCAATTTTCTAGCCAATCAAACACTGGCTTTTACCCACATATCTTCTGGTCAGATGATCTCCTGGCTTCAAAATTCAGATGATTTGAGTTGAATATGTGCAGTATGTGGGGTTAGAGACAGGCTTGTTTACAGAAAGTCAGTCAGACAACAATTGCAATTCCATTGCACATACTCAAATACTCAAATACTCAAATACAGAGAAGATATCAGCATCGGTTCGCTTCCTTGCTTTTGATTGTAGATTCAACTAGTTTAACCTTTTTGGCATTCTCAGCATTGAGAAGGGAGAGTTTCTCAAGCGAAGATTTGAGTTGGGAGATCTGAGAGCCTTGAACACAGGTGTTTCTCCTGTGAATTTTGTGCTGTTGGTTTACAAGATTGTTGTTCTTTGAAGAATTGGTGTACCTCCTTAGTCTTGCAGTTAGTGTATCGATTGAAGTATGCAAAGCATCCACCTCCACACCTGTAAAGTGGTCTGGATGGCAACAAAGTATTATTTTGTCATAATATGAAATTTATGAACTCAACTCCATATTTGGGTTTCTTCATTTTCAAGAAATGGGCAAATCTAAAAGTTCGAAGTTCATAATGCATTTAAACCCATTTCTTCTATACATGCTTAACTAAGTAACCAAACAGTTTTAGATATGTAATTTAATAGGCTAAGGAACACTTTTCACTCTTTCAAATATCAAATGAAATTGATTTTAATTAGTCATAAGCAAGCAAAAAGATTCAAGTATCGTGGCTGAGAATTTATTACCAAGTGTCGATTTGAACTCTCTTTCTGCTTTGGACAATGGCCTTTTGTGAGCTCCTGGCAAGTTCTTCAACCGATGTATCCGTTCTTCCAGAACATTGTGCAGTTTGATTGCACGTTCTATCCTGTCCTCCAATAGTTCCTGTTTCCCTCTTACTTTTAAGAGCTTTTGCTGTGCCTCTCTTAAACGAGTTTGCTGATCGTCAATTAACCTCTTCAACTCGGGCCCATGCTGCTTGAGCTCATAGTATACCTACAGGAGGTAGAAGGTAAGAAGGAAGGGGAAATTTAGATATTACACACACAGCGCTGAACTATCTAAATTATCTGAAGTAGTTGACAAAACACTTCATAGTTCTGCAGTAGATTTGCAATTACCGTGTGTGCATACTCCACATAATTTTCATGGAAGAGCTTGAAATACTGATGAAGCATGGACCGACCTTCGATCGAATCAGCAGTCACAGAACGCATATTTGATGAGGATTGAGGAAGGAGAACCACCTTAGGTCCGCTGAGAAGATTTTTGCTTATAATTTCGGATCTTTCACTTTCGTTCTTCTCTCCTGTCGCTGTGGCAGCTAATTTCTCCTCATTTAGGAAATTGCTAAACTGAACTGGGACTTGAAGGTTCCAAGTCTTCATTTCTAGAACAATACATTCCTGAGAAATGGTGACTCCCACAATCCAAGAATATCCAAATGAATCGGATAATGAGGCGAAACCACAAAGCGGAAATGGGTTGGAAGTGTCTCCCTGGCAGGTATTCAGAACAGGATGAACAGAGGGAGTTTTCATAGTCTGGTCCTGTCCTCTGCTTTGACTCGTGAATGGGAGAAAATGCAATATAATTGAGTCAATACCTCCATTATGAAGAGCATAAATTCTTTCATCCATAAGTTTATCGACAAACATCATTATAAGAGAGCATCTCTCCATCTTCTTTGGAAGGGCCAGATCTACAATAGCCAGTCTCAGCAAAGGGGGAGGGAGCCCCATCCAAACTGTGTAATCAAGTGGTTGATCAAGCTTCACCTCGGAGAGCTTCCCTGTGATCGGTTCACATATCATAGCATGTCCAAGAATATTGTCGTTCGGATCAACATGTACACGTGGGGGACTACCAAGGTTCCAGACAGGTTGAATTTCATCCGCAAGGGCATCTATCTGCAGTTGCCCACCACTCCACGCTGTCACAAGAACTGAGTCTTTGCTGATTAGCTTATATAGTAAACTTACTGCACGACCTTCACATTCTGCACCTTTAATTGATATATCTCCTTCATTTCCATTATTACATGCTCTCCTCAAAGGCCCCTGGAAGACCATGTCATATGAAGATTAAGGATTCCACTAAACCCAGAACTAAGAGTATACTACAACCCATGCACATGCCATACCACTAACAATTTGATAATAACACACACACACATATAGATATATAGATATATAGATATATATAATCTAGGGACATTGCCAACCACCAAATGCATCCACTGAAAATGTCTCATACCTGCAATGCAAGTGACGCATCAAATAAAGCACAAGGATGGGCTACTATCACAGTCATATCTCCTCCACTTGTTGCTTGAACTAAGTTTGGAAAAGTTTCTTCCAACCAAGAGATTGCAAGACTGGAATTACTGACAGCTGTTGGATTGGCTGATTTTAACCCAAAGGACTGAGCATCATTATAAATCTCCAATATAGATTCGCACTTGTAAGTGCTGTCAAGGACAAAGCACCGACTTAGAGATAGTAATATATGGTTATAAGGCACTAGTGAGACGCAAGATTTTCTTGTAGTTCAAAAGTGGAAACTTGATACATCATTTATGATTTCATGATAGACGATGGGGGAAAGCATCCCCTCTGAATATCATCTTGACATATTTTACACAACTAAATATGTGAAGAACGAGAAACAAATAAGTGTCTGTCTTCAGTAATTGTAATTGAATGTTCTTGATATCCAATAGTCATTTAAAGGATAGATGTGAGAAATTGAGTACCTTCTAAATGGAACAACAGGGCAGAGGATGTAAATTGAACCATCGCTGAATAAAACGAACACCTGCAGGTATAGTGCGTGAGTGGATTTTTTAAATTGTAATGTTGGT